TATGACCCATAACACTTGAAAAGAAGACAGTGTAGCCTGGGGAAATCAAACCAATAGTAAGCTAATCTGAGTCCTGGGAGGAAATCCCTGGTCTAGAAACTGGGGCAGGAGTCAGCAACCCCTCCCAGGCTTGACAACAGGAAACATGCTGTGATCTGTTTAGTGGTACAGCAGCCAGAGCTATGGAATCATGGGAGAGCATGTGCTAGAGAATGGGGAAACCACCCGGCCAGCTCACCAATTTTTAAATTGATCTCTTCCCACTCTTTCCCTTTATATCCGGCATCTTCCAGGTTTCTGGATAGCTAAGAGGCTGAGGCCTGCTCAGCTTTCCTCTAGGTTGACCCCTGTCTTTGGGGCAACCAGGCTCTCAGTGAGACAGAATATTTACCACATGTAGCATAGAGCTTGGAGCATGAGAAGATATTCAATAAGCATGGTCAGCCCCTGTGAGGCAAATGCTGACTGGTTATTTTGTCCCTTCACCTTGATTTGCTTGAAGAGATCTCAACAAGGACTGCTGGTATGTTCCAATCCCTAAATTGAAGGGTGTAATAATAGAAGGGAGACTACACACTGACTTGCACTCGTGCTACTGATAATAAAGTTAATAAAGACTGGTAACGCCAGGGGAATATAGCTAACTCAAACACAAAGAATTTCTGAGCCACAGGACTCTCATAAGATTTTGTATGTGAAACCCAGTTTTCTGGATAGCAGAGCTGTGGTAAGGAAGGAAGGAATTTAGTTGGTAAATTAGTTGACTATTCTTAGCCCCAAATCTCATTGGATGTGACTATTTATAAATGATCCTATTGTGTGGAAGAAGTATATTATTTTGTAAAAAGTAAGTAANAGAACTCCAGAGCTTCCTTTTCATGTCTCTCCCTCCTACCCTGCTCTTTTCAGAAAGGTCTACCTGCTCCCTAGATTCTGTTTTCCAAACTCAGAATGCTAGGCTCTAACTGGGGGTCCCTTCACATGCAATGCAGCCTTGAAACTCTCCCCATATATTAACCTGGGATAATTGTAGAGTTTACATCATTTGTTTCCCTTCTGTCAGAAATCTCTGTCCTTTGTTGTCTAATGTCAATTGATGTAAAAGCTGTTGTTTCATATGTTTGTCTGGTTTTCTTCTTTGCTTCAGTCTCTATTATCTATTCCTCCATCCTATTCGAAAGTGGGAGCCTGCAGATACTGTCTTTCTAGCAAAGTCCATGCTTTGAGGCTTATTAATGGATCTCTGGTAAACAAATTTTAATCTCCTTGAATAAGATGTTCATGACTCACAACAGCCTTTCAAGATCACTCTCTCTGAATCCTGATATTATGGATTAGGAAACTGAGACAGAGACTAAGTAATTGCCTACGGTTATACAAGTAGTAAATGACAGGCACTCAATGCAAATCCAGGTGTGTCTTTTGCCAAAGTCCACATTCTTTACTCCATTATGCTTCTTACACATGAAAGTGAGTTATTTAGGCCACATTTGATATCAAAGACTAAGTAATGCCTGTAGTGCAACAAAAATACCAATATTGTGAAATCCAAAGGTCAAATGGCAAGGAGGTTCCCAATTGAAAAGAGAATTGATATCTACAAACTAACTTTTTACCTTCCTTCTTCCTTCCCTCCATTTCTTTCCTTCTACCATGTCCTTCCACTGGATTTATCATATTAATCATCTGACATTTGATTGAGATTAAACCCTCTAATCAGTTAGCAAAGTGGTAAAGTCATACTGCCAGCCAAAGCCAGATTAAAAAATCAAATTGGCCACTGAAACACTGGTGACATGGGAACTCGAAAATTACTCTTCATAAACAGATTTCAGAAATTATGTTTGTTTATTATCTACTGTTTTTAAGCAACTTTATTTTCTCATGGGAAGAAGCCTAGGAATTGTCTGATTCTGTTGGCCACTTCAATCCGGAGGTCTGAGCATTAGATCCCACCTAATTTGAAAAAGGGCCCAAAGGAAAGCTATAAGGAAACAAACTTCATGCATTAAGAGTTTGGGGGGCCAGTTGAGTGGCACGTTGGTTAAGAGCTGGCTTGGAATGCCAGAGGGCCCTGGTTCGGATCCCACATATGAGGGCCAGTGTCACTGCCCTCTACAGCTAAGATGCTGAACAACAGCTCAACCTGGAGCTGGGCTGCTGTGAGTCGCCGGTGACAGCAGGTGGGTTGCCATGGGCTGCCGTGTGTAGCCAGCAGCCAGCGTGAGCGGCCAGCAGCCGCTGTGAGTGGCTGTCCAGA